CACCCTCTCACAGACATACATGCAGGCAAAATGCCAATGTGCATAAAATAAAAATAAATAAATAATTTTTAAAATTAGAAATTAAAAAATTAAAATTTTCATTTTTTAAGAAGAGGCAAATACATAAAGAGCTACTCTGGAGGCCAGCACAGCTTTGTTTTGCTTTGTCTTTAAGGGTCAGAAATACAGTGGTTTCCTGGGAACAGGCACACAGGGAGAATAGCAGTGTGCACTGAGCTCTGAGTCGAGGCTGCTTCCTGAAGAAGACTGGATGGGCGGAGACCTGGTGAAGGAGACAGCAGGGCCCATTGGAGGAACTGGAAGCAGAAGTGGGAACAGCTGGAGCTGCAGGCCAGATGCTGCAGCCTGTGGGAGGCAGGCCTCTGGAAAGGGCTTCTCTTCCGCCCGAGACACAGTCTGTTCTGTTTCTCGCCCACTCTGTCTGGCTCCCCTCCAGTATAGTTCTTAAGGCTCTGGTCAAATGCAATTTCACAGGCCCCTGTCCCAGGACCCAGAAACAGAGGACAGCAACATCCGGCATCTTCTGCCAGCCCCTTCTTCTCTAGCTCCATCCCAGTCCCCAATCCCTAGCAGCCACTCATCAGATCCTTTCCCTGCCATGGTGTGTGTGTGACAGAGGACACTGGACAGTCATTCTAACTGATTTGTACAATTTGTTTTCTGGGCTTTGGGCAACCCACTCCATCTGCGGAAGGCTGTGAGCGGCTTTCAAGCACCATTCCTTCCTCACCACTTCCCAGGAGCTCCCCAAGGAGCTGCCTTTCATTCTCTTCCCAGGGTCAGCAGAGTACAGCCCTGGGTGTTTCCGAAGCACGAACCAGCCTAATTAACACAGGGCATCTCCATGACAGCCTTCATCTAGCTCATTGGCACATTCTGCAGATGCAACGGAACATTGAACCAAATCCCAGGAACACTTTCTGAACTCCAGGAGGCATGCAGCATTTTATTAGGTAGCTTATTGGCGCTTCAAACTGGGAGTCTACCACCCTCCGTTCATAGATCAGTTCAGAGATAGGATCTAACTTGCCCAAGGTTGAAGAGTAAGTTCATAGACGATCTGAACCTGAAAACTGGCCCTCCTGCGGCCCCTATTGGGGGACAGGGTCCTCATGGATCAGTTAATTGGAATGCACAGAGCTCTGAGGAGCAGCCGTTTAACTAACTGCCCTTACCTAGGACACGTAACTGTGCGGCCTGGGAGGGAAGTGAGCCCTTCAGTCTGCCTCCTTGCATTTAGTTGCATTTTGTTGCGATTCTCCATTTGTTCTTTTTGTTTGATTGGTTTCGCTTTAGATCTGGTTCCCATTTCTCATTTCTGACTAAGGGCCCTTGGGTAAGGAAGAGGGAAGTCAGCAAGACTCTTGTCTTTCATTCTGTGCAACTGTTTCTACAGCCCCCCACCACCACCACCTTTTAAAATCACATTTTATTTTCTTCCCGGGGCCTGACAAGCTTCTAAAATCCCCTGCCTCTCCAATCTCCTCCTCCCCTCGGCTGTGATTATCCTGGGAGAATTTAAATTCCTTATCGTGGGTTTGTGACAGCACTGGCTTAAGCACAGACAGCCTAGCTTCCATTCTGAGGTCTTGTCGGGCTGCCCTCGATAGGTTTCTTTAATAGGAATCATGGTGAGATTTTTTTTAAGGGTGGTAATGGGATTGTAACTATGTTAAAGAAAGAACCCTTATCTTTTTTTGAGACACATACTGAAATAATAGGAAGCCTGGGATTAGCTTCCAAACAGTCTGGCGGGGGAGGTGACAAACACGACACTTGGTCCTGAAGGTGTCCATCTCCACTGACTTTCTCTCACAATTTTTATTTATTTTCCCAGCACCGGGGACAGAACCCAGGACCGCATGCATGCTCTATAGGGTTCTGCCGCTAAGCGATTTGACCACACCACCTCTCTTGGCTTCCACTCCTTTACCCTCTTACCCCCCCCCCCCTTCCCCCCTCATCACCCCCACAACACACACACACCAGGTTTTGGAACTGTTAGATTGTGAACTAGGGGGTGGGATTTGCCTCTGGGAGACTCAGCAGAGGAGAGGATCTGAGATCTAGAGGCAGACAGGCTTAGGTTTAGGATCCCACTTCCACCTCCACGGGCTGAGGGCTTGGTCATGCGTCGCTTGTTCATCTGGGTCCCCTTTACCTCATCTACAAAGAACAGACAAGGCTGACAGAAAACAGTTCGCTTTCCTCCTAGGGTCTTCTTTTGACTTTATTATTAGTGTTGGGGGCGGGTGTCAGGGTACAACTCTGCAGGGTGGGCTCTCTTCTTCCACCTTATGGGAATCAAACTCAGGCGGCCAGGCTTGCATGGCCAGAGCCTTTACCAGCTGAGCCATCTCACTGGCCAGGACTGCTTTTCTGCTTCAACTTCACCCAACTTGAAGGCAGATGTAAATTCTCCAAGGTCTCCCCCAGCTCCAACATCTTCAAGGAAGGAAGGGAGGTCTGAACTCTGGACCAGATTTGACCTCCTGCTACCCAGGTCTTCTTGGAGGCCTTAAGACATTCCAAGCATGCCATGTGTAAACTGGAGCTTGCTATGCCCCTCTTACCCTGACCCCACAAGCATGTGAGCATCCTGACCCTCCCTCCAGTCACCCCAGAGACTCACTCTAGCATTGTTTCTTTCGCTTCCCTAACCTGGCTGCCCTAAGCCATGGTCATCTTCCAGAGTCTCCGACCATCACACTGGCTCAAGCCCTGGGTTCACTCGCCTCAGCTTCCTAACTGGATTCTCTTCACTCAGACTGCGGGCCTGAACCATCCCTTCAGGTCTCGAAAGCCTCCAATAATCCCTCTCTATGGAGAGCATGAAAGGACTAAATTCCTTAGTGTGGCATTTGATACCCTGCTAAGCTTGACCTAAATCATCTACAGTTCCTACTGGTGAAGCCACGGACTCAGGTTCATATCAAAATAAGTTAGAGTCTTAATTAATGCCCTAGAATCCTAGGTCCTACCCCAAACAGTTGGATTAGGAATCAGTCAATATCAGAAGCACACAGAGGACTTGAGGGCATGGGGCTCAATTGGTAATTAGCTGTGTAAGTTTGAGGACCAGAGCTCAGACGCTCAGAATCTATGTAAAAGTCCGGCCTAGCAGCATGCCTGTAATTCTGGTGCTGGAGAGACAAAGATAGAAGGACCCCTGGGGCTTGGCGACCAGCCTGTTCAGTGAAATGAGTGAGCTCCAGGTTTAGGGAGAGAGTATCTTGGAAAATAAAGTAGTTAGCCTAGAGAGATGGCTCAGCCCTTGTTGTCCAAGAACTCACTATTGGACCAGGCTGACCTGAAACTCACAAAGATCCACCTGCTTCTACCTCTTGAGTGCTTGGACTAAAGACATGCACCACCGGGCCCCTCTATAATTTTTTAGCCCTATATTTTAAAAAGTGAAAGTATAGTAGTGATTGAGGAAAATACCTGAGGCTGACCTCTGGCTTTTGCGTGCACACGCATCTGCAGCATACAAGAATCTCTACATACACATGGATGTGTATCTGTAACACACAGGACCCTTTACACACACGTTCACATCTGTAACACACAGGAACCTCTGCACATACACGCACCTGCAACACACAGGAACCTCTGCACACCCACGTGCACATCTGTAACACACAGGAACATCTACACACGTGCACAACAGTGACACACAGGAACCTCTACACACACATACATGCACATGCACCTGCAACACACAGGAACCTCTACACACACATGCATATCTGTAACACACAGGAATCTCTACACACACACACACACACACACACAAGCATACCCCATTCACAAAAGATCTGACGACCCTCCCTTCAGCTACAGTAAGTGTCATGCCCTGGCCTTCACGCATGCTGCATTGACTTTCTCACTTTGAGTCCTGCTCTCGATGCCATGTCCTTCCCATGGTCTCCGTGCTGGCTGACAAAGTGAACCTGCACCCACTCTGCTCCACTAGCGCAGAACACACTTTTGTCATAGGCCGTGCACACCACACTGGACGTAATTTTCTGCTTGCCTCCTGTCTAGAGTGGAATCTCCACCAGGGCAAGCCCAGGGCCCCCCACATAGCACAGATGAGTGCTCCATAAACACCAGTTCATTTGCTCGTGTCTTATTTCTGGGTTCCTGAACACCAAGCATGGTGCTTAGCACCGGTGGGTATTGTCTGATGGGAAGATTATCAATGCATGTGTGAAAGCAGGAAGGAAAGATGAATATAAATCAACCCGTGCTGACTTCACAGTGACTAACATTCTGGAATGCTTGTCTACATGAGAGATCGTCCCCAAACTGAGGGAACCGTAAACGAAGTCAGAACCTGGGTCAATGGGCTCTAGGTTCCGTGAAATCGCTCCATCAAAAGCATTCTGATGTTAATCAGAAATGTCACTCTTCTTTAAACTTCTTATCACATTTATTTAAGTCAGAGAAAACTTGTGGCTGTCGGTTCTTTCCTCTCACCTTGCAGGTCGGGGATCAAACTCGGGTCATTAGGTTTGGTGGCAAGCACCTTTCCCTGCTGAGCCATCTCTCCACTCCCACTGTGGTGAGCGTATGTATGTGACATGCAGCGCCATCTTCCATCACAGTGGCCCTGTCAGGAACCATGCGGAAGCCTCACTTATCACGTGGGGTACGTGGCAGCATCTAACAGAACCAGGGTGTAGGGTACCGCTGTTCTAGCACGAAAGACAGACACCCACTCTGACTCAAGCCCGACTTACTGCCCATGTGAGACTGGACATTCCGTCCCACACCTCAGTGTTCAGCTTCTTCTGTCCTGCAGCAGAAGCTCTAGGTGTCCCTAATCCAGGTAGCTGAGTGGTAAAGTCATGGATGCCGTGTGACTAGCAGGTGTATGTCACCACCCTGTGCAGGAATTCAGGACAGCTGGAGTCCAGTTAAAGAAGGCTAACTGTAGCCCCTCCCCCCCCGCCGGGGGGTGGGGAATAGGACTAGAGCAGCAAGCCAGGGCCTAGCCATGAATTCAATTCGGGTGTTTGGAGATTAGTAGCAGGCTGGGAGTGGAAGTGTGGTGGCGGGGCTGATCCTGGACTAAATGACTGGGAGTGGGTGAAAGGTGAGCTGGGAGATTGAGGCTCTGAAGGGGAACTCCGACGCCCTGCTTCCGGTGGCTGGTGCTGGGCTACCGAGTCCCTTAGCTGAAGTGGAACCACAGAGGGGAAATGAGGCTTTATTGTAGCCCTGAGGATTTTTATGTCATGGGAAACTGGGAACTGGAGACTCAGACGGGGCTTTGGGTTTTGCCCGTGATGGGAAAATAATAACTTCCTCTTTCTGTCTGTAGGACCCGTTGTCACTCAGACGTGCCAACCCTGGGACTTCAGTGAGCAGAGGGGGATCCCAAGAGAAGCCCGCTCCTAGATCCTGAGGCGTGCTGAGAGCTGAGGATGACATACTTGGATCCTGAGAGGCAGGGCCGGAGCCAGGGAGATACCTAGGCTCCCTGTGGAAACACAGCTAAGACCTAGGTATGAATTAGGAAGAGAAAGATTAGAGGGCTTGGGTGACAGAGTAAAGGGTGGCACGGCAGATCTGACCGGAGCCTGCTTGGATTTCACAGGAAACAAAGCCTTTCGTAGGGAACAAGGGGCCTCTGGCACTGGAAACAAAGCCTGACACCACCAAAGACTGGGGAACAGCGCCATCTCCTGGCTGCCTGCGGCTATGACCCGCCTTCCCAGGCGGAACCGCGGGGTTTAAGAAGACCGTCCCTTGTGCCTGGCCTTTTAGCAACCTGGAATAAAAATTTTACGACCTATGGTGAGCCTGAGATTCTGCTCTTTTATCAAATTCTCCCCCTCACCGATACACCTGCTATTCGGACCATACTCTGATGAGACATCTGCTATCAGTGATGAATCAGCTCGGCACCTGGAAGGGATTAAAGGAAGAAAGCATCCCCCCCCCCCCCCCCGCCCTCCGCCCTACCCCCGCCCCTGCACAAAGTCGTTCAATCCCAGGGAGACCAGGCAGGGAGAACGTTTCTTGGAGGGACCGGCCAAGGCCTTCGACAGGGTGAGGCAGCCTGAAGTGGGAAGAGCATCCCCGTGGCATGATGCCTGTATTAACGCTACTCACACTATATCACCCGTAGTTCAGAGTTCACGTGCCACAGGTTGAGATGCTGCAAGCAAGGGGAATGCTGGAACTGCTACTTAAGGGGGCAGCACTTCCAAATAACCTAGAGGTTTTACACATGCCTTCCCTACGTCGCCCCCAGCTTACTCCATTATGGAGACTCAAACCTTTGAACTTATTGCCACATTGAACTTAGGGTCACATCCCTGAGCTACATCTCCAGCCTCAACTCCTCCCCCATTAAATTTAAACTTTTTTCTTCTCTGTTATTGTTTTTTTAGAGACAGGGTTCCTCTGTGTAGCTTTGGAGCCTGCCCTGGGACTTGCTCTGTAAACCAGTCTGGCCTCAAACTCACAGAGATCCACCTGCTTCTGCCTCCTCCTGAGTGCTGTGAGCCACTACCGCCTGGCTAAATTTAAACTTTTTGAGAATTACCTAGGCTGACCTTGAACTCTGTACGCAGCCCCCAGGTGGTTCTTGATTCTGTGTTCCTTCTGCCTCCATCTCCTAAGAAGCTGGAGGCAGAGGCCAACGACACTAGGCAAGGCTTGACGGCTCTTCCTTGAGAATTTGCCTCCTTGGACGCAAGCGTTTCTTAGAACTGTGCAGAGTCCCACCTAGTCAGAAGCAAGGCTGATCAGGAAGAGCCACACAGCCCAGGAGAGAGGACCAGCCCTCTTAGTTTACAGAAAAAGAAACAAAGGCTCAGAGAAGTCAAGAGACTTTGTCCGGGGCCACCCGGGAATGCTGGGAATGCCGACGTCCTGGCTCGGACAGCGGACAGCGCAGAAGAAGTGACCCTAGCCGCTGCTGACTCCATAGACAGACCCCGAAGGGCAGAAGGGAGGGTAATGGAATCGGAAAGTCTAGGGTCTGGGCCTCTCCTTCTCCTGCACAGAGGCCTGGGGGCAGGCTGGGAAGGCTCTCATCCTACTGGGAGGACATGAAAGCAGCGTTTACAAAGCCGGGTCTGAGGCCCTTGCATAGACCCCCTTTGTTGCCGGCACTCCCGCCGGTCTCCCATACCCGGCTTTCAGCAGCCTCCCCTTTGAATGGCTGGCTCTCACACACTGGAAATCGGCAACACAAATGTGCTGCCTGTTGCCCTCTCAGCCCAGCCGCACCGCCCAGCCTTTGGGGTCCTTTTAGAACCGGTCTTTTTCTGGGGTGCTTTCTTTTTTTTCTTTTTTTTCTAGTTCAAGCCCCGGGACCCTAGACACAGCCGGGATCACTAATTAGGGCAGGGTTAAAGAGCCAGCCCCGTGCCAGGCCAACCAAAGCAGGGTGATGGGAATCAGAGGTGGAGGCCGGATTTTCATTCTTGGGATTCTTTCTGGCTTTCTCTCTCTCTCTCTCTCTCTCTCTCTCTCTCTCTCTCTCCTCGTAGTGGTCTAGGGAGCAAATAAAGCTTATCAACAAGATGGTTCCCAGCTTTCCCAACCATGCTGCCTGGTTTCTGAGCTTACGGCTGGTTATAAAGTGAATCTGCCTAGGCCTGTCTCTGCTTCTTCACTGGGGAGTTAGATGCCATGATCCCCACGGTGCAAGTATAGTAACTGGGATGCAGTCAGATTGAGAGCCTTACTCAGATTCACGTGTGGGGCAGAGCGCTGTTTCCTCTAAATTCACCAGCCACCCAAGCCAGGGTGCCTATTTTAGGTTTCTTCCCTGTCCTGTCTGATGAAATGCTTCCAGTTTAAAGTGACCTGCCTGTTCCCACAAATCTTGAGTACTTTTGTGTGTGCTGAAATTGAAGGTCCTGCTTCCCATGGCCTCTGAAGGCACCCATGAAGACAAGTGTTAAGTCCCTGTACTTCTCAAGGCCCAAATGCAGACCGAGGACAGAGACCCACACATTCCCGTAACGGCAGAAATGAGATCCTGGTCCTCAGGACAGCTAATTCAGAGAGCGCTGTAGGCTCTAAAGGGGCCTAATTAGGTGTTTGATGGGAGTTTGTTTTGGGTTTTGTTGTTGTTTGTTTGGTTTGGTTTGGTTTGGTTTTTCGAGACAAGGTTTCTCTGTGTAGCTTTGGAGCCAGCCTGTCCTGGAATTTGTTCTGTAGACCGGGCTGGCCTCAAACTCCCAGAAATCCTCTTACCTCTGTGCTAGAGTGCTGGGATTAAAGGCATATGCTGCCACTTCGCTGCATGATGGGAATTTGTAAGAGAAGGAAAGAGATGCTCCCCTCAGAACTGGCCAGACAGTGCTCCTGGCCCTGTGGGGGGAGCCAGGCAGTTCCCTTCCTCCTTGCCCCTCCTCCTCTTCCTCTTTTTCCATTCCCTTTTCTGTGTGTATGACTTGTGTGCACATACATGTGTGTGTACACGCCAGCAGGCATATGTCACAGTAAACTTTGAGGTCAGAGGACGACTTTTGGGAACTGGTTCTCTCCTTTTACTGTAAGTTCCAGGGACAGAACCCGAGTTCTTGTACAGCAAGCACCTTCACTCTGTGAGCCATTTCACCCTTGAAAGGTTTCTCAGTATTCAAAATATTCTTTTATCACACAACCCAGCAGTTCTGCTCCCAGAGATCTCCAGGAGCATGAATGCGTACATTCTCAGTAAATCTTACAAAGTTTCATAGAACTGTATTTTTAAAATATAATTTAATTTTTTTCTTTTCTCTTTCTTGCTTTCTTTCTTTTTTCAAGACAGGGTTTTACTGTTTAGCTCTGGCTGGCCTTTGTAGATCAGGCTGGCCTTGAACTCACAGATATCTGCCTGCCTTTGCCTCCTGAGTGCTGGGATTAAAGTTGTGTGCCACCATGGCCCGGCTTAGGTTTTTTTTTTTTTTTTTTACATTTTGTGTGTGGGTGTTTTGCCTGCACATATGTCTGAGCACCCTTTGCATGCAGTGCCTGCGGAGGCCAGAAGAGGGCGTTGGATGCCCTGGGACTGGAGTTATAGAGGGTTGTGAGTCCCCATGGGAGTGATGGAGGTCGAACAAGCGTCCTCTGAAAGAGCAACGAGTGGAGCGCTCTTGGTTACTAAGCCATCTCTTTCCAGCTCTGTAGAGTGATTTCTTGTTTGTTTGCTTGTTTTTGTTGTTGTTTTTTGTTTTTGTTTTTAGAGACAGCATTTCTCTGTGTAACCCTGCCTGTCCTGAAACTCTGTAGACCTCTGGCCTCGAACTCACTGAGATCTACCTGTGTCTATCTCCTAAATGCTGGGATTAAAAGCATGTGCCACCACTGCCCGGCTTGTAGAGTGATTCTTAATATATAGGCTCCAACTAATTCATTTAAATGTCCCTCATGGTGAGTGGATAAGCAAGCTGTCATACAGCCAGACAGTAGAAGAAAAAAGACCAAGCTATTGATGCATGGATCCCCATGTGTTCATCTCAGTGACATACTGGGAATACCTATCATATACTTTAATACATAGGAATTCCCAGAAAGGAAGAATAAAGATAGAATCAGTTGGGTTCTGCTTTTTGCCTGGGCCCGTGGGAGGGAGTGGCAAATGTGTGGAAGGGGTGTGTGATTATGGACATTCTGAGACAGGGCTGTGGCAACAGTGGCACAACTATTTATACTTATGATATCCCTAAAGGACTGAAGATCGGTAATAACTGAACTGGGCCAGCAGCTCAGTGGTAGAGCGCCTGCTTAGCTTCCACGGAGCCCTGGGTTGGCTTTCCAGCGTGGCAGGAAAAAAGAGCGCAAAGTGACCGCTGTGATAGTCTCAGTGTTAGGAGCCGACGGAGGGCCAAGGGGCCCTGAGAAGCCCTCAGTTTGGTACGGGCTCTACCTTTGGCAATCTGAGCACTGACACCTGACCGGTTCTGACTGGCTCACAGGGCCTCTGCTGCGTCTTCTTCCGATGCTAACTGCAGAGCTCGCTCCGTGCCTCGCCTGCACCTTATACAGTCTTTACTCAGGAGTTGAGCCCAGCACCCGGCTCCACAGGAGGGAACGGAGGTTAGGCTTATGTGGGGCCTAGCACGGCCGGCTTCCTCTGGAGTCAAACTCCAGTTCTCCCAGCCTCCCCAGTCAGCTCTGAGTCTCGAATCTGTTCCCAACCCAGAGACTCGCCCTCAGGAGGTCCAGCTCTCCAGGGTTCCTCTTATATTTACCGCAATAATCTCATCTCTCCTACCTGCCCAAGAGCCCATTGCTCTGAGGATCTCAGCTGCACCAACTGTCCCAACCACCTGCCTGTTGCTAGAACCTATCAGTTCATTTATTGGTTTCATTCTGTGTTTTGGTACTTATTTTAAACTTATCATCTCATTTTTAATTCTTTAAGCTATGCCCTGACCTGACCACTTCGTACAGACATGGCCAGCAGGGCGATGTACCCCTTAGCCTTCACCTGTGTGAGGAACATCTCATGTTTGCTGTATGCAATAACATGGCTCAGTGAAGGCTAGGAAGCAAGGTTGCAAAATATCACCGCTGGGAGGTTCTCAGAAAGTGCCTGCTTCAAACTGAACCACTGAGGACTCAGGAACAGGGGGAGGGGCCTCCAGTCCCGTCTACTTTCAGGGCAGCACAATTGTGTGTGTGTGTGTGTGTGTATGTGTGTGTGTGCGTGCACGCACATGCATGCATATGCATATGTATGTGTATATGTGCTTGTCTATATGCGTGTGCATTAGTGTGTGTGCATGTGAGCATGCATGTGCTTGTGTGTGTGTGTGTGTGTGTGTTGTACAAAGTGGTGGTAAGGTTAATGTGTGTGTGGAAGCCGGAGATTGCTATTGAGTATCTTCATCAATCTCTCACTACTTTATTTTTTGACGTGGCTAGATTGACTGGCCAGATGCTGCAAGGATCCTCCCACCTCCATTTCCTAGTGCTGGGATTGCAGGTGCTTGTTGGCAAGTTTTGTATGTTAGTTCAGGGGATCCAAACACAGGTCATCATGCTCACGCCACAAGCCCTTTATTTATTTCTAATTTATTTATTTATTTATTATGTCTAGTGTTCTACCTACATATATCCCCATGGGCCAGAAGAGGGCACCCGATCTCATTACAGACAGTTGTGAGCCACCGTCTGGTTGCTGGGAATTGAACTCAGGACCTCTGAAAGAGCAGCCAGGATTCTCAGCTGCTGAGCCATCTCTCCAGCCCGCCACAAGCCCTTTATGAACTGACCGTCTCTATCCCACTTTTTGAGTAGGAAGGAGCCTTGCTATATTGCCCCAGCTGGACTAGAACCCCTGGACTCAAGCAATTCTCCTGCCTCGGCTTCCTAAGAAGTTGGCACTGCAGGCACACACACCAATACTCATTTAGGTCCTCTTAAGAATCTATTTTATAGGTTAGATAGATTTTCAAAGAAAAGAAACTTTTAAAAAGTTTGGAGTGGTCACTCACTGGCATAGACTTGAAGACTGGAGGGTAGAAGGAGCTCGGAACGGTCACAGAGGTTGTGACTTACAGGCATGGAAGAGGAGGCAGATCTCTGGCTCTGTGTGGCGCTCACTATCTGACTAGTCCACAGAGCTGCACAGGAAGCCAGGGCTTCTGCCTCAGACGTTTGCATGCTGGGAACATCTCAGTTCTCCCAAGGCCTCCAACTCTTCTCTCTCCCTTCACACTTCTCTGAGGCAGCTGCCATGTTGGGCTGTCGTGATACGTGACAGAGGTTGCTGTGGGGTCGGCCGTCAAAACCTGCTGGTGGATGGCAGCAGTTGGTGTAGACCAAACACAGGGAGATTCTGAGAACTGGATGACGAGGGAGACAGCGAACAGTGTCCTCAGGGAGAAGTAAAACGCTTATTGGTAAGACTGTCTGCTCCAAAGTGAAATAAAGTTATGTGTGGACAAAACAGAATGATATAAACTTGAAAAGGCACAGTTTGGGGAGGACGAACAAAGCCATGACAATGCTGTAAATATCATAATTACTAGAATCTCAGTGTTATTCACTATTTTTCTCAGAACAATCATTCAACATTCGATTCCGTTCACCCCCTCAAAGACAGAGGGAAAGTCTGGTATGGACCTTAATTTGTGGGGGCACAAACACCACTTTTCCCCATTAGAGATCGTCTGTGTCGTGCTAAAAATGGTGCATTAGATGACTCGTGCGTAATCGACTCTCTGACGCGGACGACACTTAGGGAAATTAAGGTATAAATGTGAGCACACGGCTGTGGCTGGAGCAGATGCCTGAGGTCAGCGGGACCCGAGCAGAGGGACTCAGACGGAGGCGGACACCTGTCGTATTGGAGGTGAGAGGGAGTGGTCCTGGGGTAAGGGCTGGGTAGGAACAAGAAAATCTGACATCTCACCAGCTAACGGAAACCAAGTCAAATGGCCTATGGCCAGCCCCCGTGTCTGTGGACTGGTGAGGACATGTAGTTCCCGTTCTGAGTGCAGTGACTGCTCAGTAGAGACTCTGGAATGTGCTCTTGGTGGCTGATGCCATGTAGGCACTGTGAGGAAGGCATGGCACTTAGAGAAGAGGCAAGCAGAAGTGTTGCAGGAATTGGTGAGAGGGGAGGATGGTCTTGGGGGCTCCTTCCAGGGTGTGGGGTAGGCTTCTGGGTTGAGACATGAGCTGGCTGGATTCTCCTGTCAATGAATGACAGGACTCAGTCGTGCATCCGAAAACAGCCCCGTCGCTGTAGAGATCGACGTGGCTCATCGATCACTGAGAACCAACTCAGTAATTGCCTGGAAACTGATAGCATTTTGCTTTCTCCCTCAACTGAAGCCACGCTCCTTGCTCTAATTTTCAGTCACAATTATTGGGTTTTGGAGGCTTCTATGACCGCATGCCTGATCCCTACACCTTGCTTGAAAGTAGACCTGAAGTACTTATTGTTATTGTTTTCCACCATAAACTGCCTCAAATCCTTCTTTGGGACATGCTTCCTCATTGAACACTTAAGATTTCGTGTGTGGTGTGGTCCAGTCTTAAAGCTTTGTCTAGAATGTGCAAAGCCCTGGGTTCTGTCTCCCACACCACAGAAATGCTCAGTCTCAGATTTTCTTGCCCTTGAGGTGTTTTTGGTCAAATGACTTCAGAATTGAGAATCTCGACACTTGGGAGTTCTCAGTTGCAAAGGAGAACATTTCACAAAGGTGGAAGAGTCCCTCCGGGGTTTTGCAAGAGAAAGGAGACCCTTGTTCATGTGGACACCTGAGGAGACCTGACCTGTCGCTTGCACGGATGTGTGTCTGTAGAATTCCTTTTGTTGTTGTTGTCGTCATTTATTTATTTTAATTGTAAGTTTTTTATTCATTTTACATACCGACCACAGTTCCCCCTCCCTCCCCATGTCTGTAGAATTCTTGTGATGCTTGTGGCAGGAGGCTGTCAAAAGGTGTCAACTGATGAGAATTGATGCCCTCTTCTCCCAACACCCAAGACCTCAGCTATGTCCAATCCCATAACTAACCATGCCCAAGATCTAGCGTACCTTAAACCTTGCCAGAATCAGCTGGGTTTGGGCCACTCTGTCACACAGGAGAATAGTTGAAAACTATTTCTCTGGTTGTTTCTGTTTGTTTGTTTGTTTTTGTTTTGGGTTTTTTTTGTTTGTTGGTTTGGTTTTTTGAGACAGGGTTTCTCTGTGTAAACCTGGCTGTTGTGGAACTTGCTCTGTAGACCAGACTGGTCTCAGACTCACAGAGATCCATCTGCCTCTGCCTCCTGAGTGCTGGGACTAAAGGCGTGCGCCACCACCACCCAGCCCAAATGATTCTTGTTGTTCCGGTCGGTCTGGTCTTTATTCACTGGGGATTGGGCAACCCCATGCAATAGGTTTGCATAGCTGGGGTTGCTGTGGAGTCTGGGCCTATCCCTGGAACAAGTCAAATGTTACTGCTCCTGCTTGACCAGGCTATGCAGCGACCAAGCCTTCTTATGAGTGAATGGGGTGTTGCTGGACTTGTGGGAACTGTTCCCCCAAAGTCTGCACAGAGGGAGGTGGCAGTCAAGTAAGTGTTCCTGTTTGTTCCTCTTTGGAGTTCGGGGAGGCCCCCTGACAAGGAACAAAAGCTATTCTTTTTTTAGACCCCTTTCCCATGTGCAGGTGATAAACCCTGAACTAAGCCTCATGAACAGGGAGAACTGTGGCTAACGTATTGCATGTGAGCCGGAGGAAGTCTGTGGGCCTGGGAAGTAAGTGCCCACTCTGAAGCTATTTTGATGGGGGATCATCTGAAAACCCCGTCCTCCTCTTCGACTCTGGTGTTGGCTGTGAACTGAGGGTGACAGTCCTGCTCTGAAGTGGGGGTGAGGAAGCTAGGCAGGACAGGCAATGGGATGGAGGTGGAGACAGTGGGGTCGGGGTGGGGGATGAGATTTCCTTTTGAACTCTAGGGAGCAGGGCAGGAGGGGAGGATGCAGAAGAGAGCTTAGGTTAAGAGTAGGGCCTGGACTTCATGCCAGAGGGTTTCTGATCATGGGAGTAAAGAGATCAGGGGCCAGCTGGGCATAGTGGCACATACCTTTAATCCCAGCACTCGGGAAACAGAGGCAAACGGATCTCTGTGAGTTCAAGGCCAGCCTGGTCCACAGGGTTTGTTCCAGGACAGCCATAGCTACATAAAGAAAGCCTTGTCTTGAAAAACAGAAAGAGAGAGAGAGAGAGAGAGAGAGAGAGAGAGAGAGAGAGAGACACTAGGGGTCTGGAGATGAGACATGAAGAAGGTGAAAAGCCAATGTGTCATAGAGAGACAGGAAATACAGTGACTTATAGTCAAGGCACCTTTCTTATGCCCAGAGTTCCCTGTTTGGAAAGTCCCACTTCCGGAGAGTCCAAGCCCAACTGGGAAAGGAAAGCCGCAGTGTGAACACAGGGAGTGTAGATACAAGAAACAAGGCCTAAGTCACATGAAAATGTACCTGAGAGGCCTGGGGCAGGGTGAGGACCCAGAGTCACAGTGAACAGTTCCCACTGGTGCTTTCTGGGTCTCAAGGCATGCCTGACCAGAGAAGGCCAGAATCTGTGGAAGGAATCTGTTGCCTGAAGAGAAGTGAACCTAGGCAGGCATTCTGGACTTGGTTAGTGCTGGTCCTGCCTGCAGAAATCAGTCCTCAGTGGAGCATGGGAGAGAGAGGAATCACAGGAATGGAGGGTGCTGCCTTTCAGGGAACTACCAGATCCTCCAGAGCAGACATCCTGGAGAAGACCCAGACCAGGGCAAGCCAGAGCTGACAGGAACATCCTCTTGAGCCAAGGCAGCTCTTCCCCTAATGCAGAGCATGGCATTCACAGGCCCCAGCGAAGATTCTGACACACTCACCTTGCTGCTCCGTCCTTCCCTTTCAGAGCTCTGGGTAACATAACAATTCTGCCACGTGCGGAGGCACATGGCTGTAATTCCAGCTCTCAGGAAGCCGAAGCAGAAGAATTATGAGTTTGAAGTTGGCCTGTGCAATACAGTGAATTCCAGGCAAGCCTCGGCTCCATTTCTAGACGCTGTCTCATACCCCACCTTCAAAATATCAGCTTCCAGGACAGGAAGTTTCTGTTTTTGCTCCAACTCCACACAATGGCACGAATCTACCTTCTGAACAAATGTTAGGTGACCACAGCAAAAGTTTCTAGGGAGTTCCTTGCGGGTGATTCTTCTCACCTATTCTGATAATTATGGTTATTATCTCCATTTTGTGGCTGGGGAAACTGAGGCTCAGACAGGCTAAGGCACTTGTAGTGGGAGCTCAGGTAGTGAGAGCAGAACTAGGATCTGAGCATGGCATGGTGTCCTCTGCCCCCTGCTGTCTGTCAGCCAGGGGGTGATGCTCTCTCCTGTGTGTGTGTGTGTGTAGGGGGGGTTCCCTCACAGCTTCCAGGAGAGGTGGTTTCCCTATGTTACTGATTTTCTACTCAGCCTCATGAGGTGGCTACGGTGACTTCGTTGCAGGTGGGGAAGCTAGAGCTGAGGACAGACATTGTTGGACTTAAATCCAAGTGTGTCTGACTGACTTCCAAAGTCCCACAGCCAAAGGACGAGGACCAGGGCATGTCATGGAGTAGTGCCCGGGGGACGCTGTGGCTATGTCTGAGTATGCCTTCCTGATGTTTTGTGCAGGCTCCACCCAGGGGTGAAGGATGCCACTCTGGGTGTTCTTTGTGATCCTCACCCTCACCAGTGGCTCCCACTGCTCACTGCCCACCTCACTGCCCTTCAGGTAAGCAGCCAGGATGCCTGCACCTCCTGGGCCTCCCCATAATAGAGGATGCTAACTGGAGCCACCAGCTGTGTCTCACAGTGCCCACTGCTCACCTCAGGCAGGGACCAGTCATGGAGCCCCAGAAGACACGCAGCCAGGCTCCGAGTCTCCGTGGGCGTGAGGGGAACACAGAACAGAGGGAGGCCTGTCCTTTCCCTGGGCCCCATCCTGACCTCTGACCTTTTTGCACAGGATGAGGCGATATGCAGATGCCATCTTCACCAACAGCTACAGGAAAGTTCTGGGCCAGCTGTCTGCCCGTAAACTGCTCCAGGACATCATGAGCAGGCAGCAGGGGTAAGCAGACCTTCTAGTAGCTCCTCCCCAGTCCCTCGCACGAGAGCTGGGAAGGCCTGATGCAGGAGGTGGGAGCCAAGCTTCGTTTCTTCCCTGACACAGTATATATCGGTGGTCCTCAAGCTTCCTACGGCCGTGACCCTTTAACACAGCTCCTCATGTCTAATACAGACCCTCAACCATACAATGATTTTGTTGCTACTTCATAACTGTAATTTTGATACTGCTCTGAATGGAAATGTAAGTATCTGATATGTGACCCCCAAAGAGGTGACAACCCACAGAATGAGAACCGCTGGTGTCCATCCTTTCTGAATTTCGCACAGATTGACCCTCCGCTTACTTTGTGTGTGCCTCTCTCTCCCCGTCCTTGGCTTCAGCAGTGACAACGCTGATGGTCATTGCTCCTATCTGATCAGGATTCCAGGCCAGAAACGAAGACTAGGCACGGGGACCTGCGCATACATGAGGACTTAGCTGGGGACACAGGAACCTGGGCCAGAGCAGCCTCTATAAGTCTCTTCCCAGATCTGTGAGGCCAACTGTCATTACCTCATCAGACAGACCCCAGGTGTCATCTCTAAAGGGTGCACAGAACGTGGCCAAGCAAAGATCCAAACAGCCTGAATTTGTAGTTTCTGTTTTGGAAAACCTTCAAATGTATAAAGATGTTATGGGGATGGAGCTAGCATGTACTGCTTTTGCAGAGGGCCCGAGTTCAAATCCCAGCACCTACATGGAGGCTGACACCTGTCTTCGACTCCAGTCCCAGGGCATCCTGGCCTCCATAGGCACTAGGCATACATGTAGGCAAACAGCAACAACATAAAGCCCATACACATAAAAATAAATAAGTACAAATTTAAAGCTACAGTATTACTCTTAGAGTCAACAACGCCTAACATTTTACCATTTTTCCTTAGACCAGTAACATACACATACACACCTAGACACGTGCACATTTCCCACGATGATGGTCTCATCTTCACTGAGCCATTTTTAAGTTTCTTATTTATTTTGACACAAGGTCTTGTATAGTTTAGGCTGGTCTTGAACTTGATATGTATCTGAGGATGACTTGCTTCTGAGCATCCTGCTTTCACCTCCTGAATACTGGAATTGCAGGCCTGCACATTATAGTTATCAATACCTTTTACCCCATGGTGCTTGTGTCTCTCAACATTTAGCAAACCACACCCCCTCTTGTCCTCAGGGGTCACTCACGACACAGAGTCAAATTTCATCAGTTGAATTATAATCCTTTATAATTATTTCTTCTCTGACCCTAGACCCAGTGTGGAATCCAGCTCTGTTTACTCATCACCATATCTGTTTTCATCATTAGTCTTACTTTATGCGTATCATTGCTCATGTATGTCTGTGCACCACATGCATGCCAGGTACCCTCTGAGGTCCAAAGTGGGCCTTGGATCCCCTTAATCTGGAGTTATGGATGGCTGTGAGGCACCATGCAGATGCTGGGACTCAAACCTGGGTCCTCTACAACAACAAGGGCTCTTACCTGCTGAGCCATCTCTTCAGCCCTTTGCATATCTTTGAGTTTAATCTGGAAGATGCCTGATGTTTTTGACTTGGACAACTTTGACTAATAGATGTCATTGCTTCCTAGACTGCCCTTCACTGTGACCCTGTCCAGGGTACCTTCATTATCAGTACCCGCCGTGGCCACAGTATTAGAAGCTGCCACACAATGGGTTGTTACTGGTGGACAATACATTGGACCACTTGTTTAACGTGCTATCTACAAGATTAGCAATCTATGGGGAGGGGTTTGCAGCGGTACACATACGTGAGCTCCATATTTCACTGCCATGCACGCTGATGCCCAGGTGTTGCTGAATGCAAGTGGATTTCCTAAGAATCCATATCAGATACTGGAATAGCAAAGGACTATACCCCTGACTGGACAGTCTACCCATCGGCAACCTCACTGCTTCTCCTTCCCCCAATCCATAGGGAGAGGAACCAGGAACAAGGAACCAGAGTACGGCTTGGCCGGCAGGTGGACAGCATGTGGGCAGACCACAGGCAGGTGGCGCTGGAGAGCCTCTTGGTAGCCCTGCTGCAGAAGCACAGGTGATGGGGCAGGGAGAAGGGGGGTTGTACGTCACAGGTGATGGGGGGGCAGGGAGGAGGCAGATAGAGACGTTCTTCCCTCTGGGTTTCTAAGAAAAGCAAAGAATCACCTTCTCCTCACAGGTATGGGGCCTAAAGCACCCCCGCAGGCCTCAGGCACAGGGAGGGATATGTGTGAGAGGACTGCAAGATGGCCACTGCAGTGTCCAGTGCAGACCAAGAAGCCAGGCTTGGTGTGTCTTGAAATGTTATCAGTGCTTCTGGTATGGGTCTCAGACCCTGAGTTTTAACGGGTGTACCAACGGACTGCATTGTGGTGGTATGAAGGGTACACCTCGAATCCCCTGTGAAGTCCATGAACCTATAATGTCCAAGACAGGCCAGCTTTGCTATGCCCAGTGGCTGACCAGAGCAGGCAGAACGCTGTCAGGAGAGGCAGAGCTGGCCACGATGGTCATTCCCATCTTGGTGCTCCTCACATTTCCACTGGGAGTCAGGGAAGATGGAGAAGTTTCCCCTTTTACATTAGAGGAAAACTGAAGTTAAGCGGAGGAGGCAGGGTGGAAGAGACTAGCGGGTCCACAAAAACGCTGTATTTGACAGCCTGACTGTAAACCGAGCACACGTGCTTCCAGTGCAGTTGTCGGGTGCTCCCACAGCAGCCTATAAAACAAACTCAGCTCCACCTTCCTTACCTAACCAGGCACTCGGAACCATAAAGCTCACCAGCTTCACTGTTAGGCAGATGATCAGGGTTGGGGGTGGGGAACCAGACTGGAGGCAGGAGGCAGGCCTGGACCCCAGGCCTGGCTCTGGATCTCTCTGTTCAGGATTTCTTCCTCTACAAACGGAGCAGGTGAACTCTGGTGCCTTCTAAGGGCTCAAAGATTAGATCTGTGTGAATATTGCCTCTAAGAATTCCATTCATGGCCTCTTACCAGATAATCTCCCTCTGGAGTCCAAAGGAAGATGCCTAAGGCCTGGAGAGATGGCTCAGCAGTCAAGAGCATTCACTGGTTGTTCTTCCTGAAGTCCTGAGTTAAATTCCTAACACCCACATCACAACCATCTATAACTGTAATCCCATGGGATCTGATGCTCTCTTCTGGTTTGCAGATATATATGCAAATAAAACACCCAGATACATAAAATCCATACCTAAGTAAATAAATCTTTAAAACAGAAAGTTCAAGACCAACCTGGGCTACTTAGTTCCAGGTCAGCCTAAGCTATACTATGAGACCCACCCACCTCTGCTATCCTCCCTGACAGGAAACTGTCAATCTTGTTGAGCCATTTTTTCACTTTTGTAGCAACCAGGTCAGCGGATACTGTGTGTGAAGGCCTACCTAGGCTGGGGATCAGCTGTGCTCAGATCAGGGGTGTTTCTTCTCACGGTGTCTGTATCTCACAGAGGCAGTGAGGACTCACACCTGTTCTTGTGAGGTTGCTCAACTTGTGACCAACAGAAAGGTTTGAAGGGTGTGGCACATGTTTGTCTGGGAAGAAGCTGGTCCTGTCTAAGGGTCAGAAGTGGTCTCATCAGAAGGGAAGTGACCATCCCAGGGTCTCAAAGGCAGCAGGTTAGCAGGGCAGGGGCTAAAAGTGGGATTTACATTTCCGCAGCCACGAGTATCTTTCTGGCCACTGCCTCCCACCTCTGAGAACCCAGAAGCTCTGCCCCTGCTTACCAGAGTCTAGATTGAGTGTCTCTTTCTTTCTACAGCAGGGACTCCCAAGGATGAAGCCTTCAGCAGAGGCTTGGGCCACCCGTACCCCAAACACAACCTGGACCCAGTTACTTCCACTTCAGTTTTGACTTTCTCCTTCCTCTGTAAATACAATAAAATTCCCTATCCTGATCCGTGCTTCAATTTCCTTTATTGTCCATCTGACTTTTTAAGTGTGGTTTATGTGATTGCCTCTCCCGGGTTTAGCATCACGAAGCATAAGGATACAGAACAGCTGAACTGGAGAGCTGGCTCAGACGGCGAAGTTGCTGCTGTGCAAGCAAGCATGACGACTTGAGTTCGGTTCCTAACACCCGCATAAAAGCCAGGTGGCATGGGAGTACATGCCTGTGGTATCAGTAAGGGGGGGGCAAGAAAGACACATCCCTGAGGCTCACTGGCCAATCAGTTTAGTCTAGTCTGTGAGTCCCAAGACCCAGTGAGAGACAATGTCTCAGAAAACAGGTGACTGTCCTTGGCTACACAGTAAATTCCAGGTCATTCTGGGATAGACACTACATTGTCTCAAAAAAAAAAAAATTAAAAATTGACAACAGTAGCAAGGTGGTGGCAGTAAACGCTTTTAATCCCACCACTCAGGAGGCAGAGGCAGGAGGATCTCTGTGAGCTTAAGGCTAGCCTGGTCTACAGACACCCAGGGTTACAGAGTGACCCCGTCTTAAAAAACAGAAACAGAAACAAACAACAACAATACAAACAAACTGTGAAGCCTGGATGATGGGATGTCCGGAACGATTAAAAGTGTAAAAATAATCACAGCATTCAAAATTGGATGGAACTCTTACCTCTCGGTTTTCCTAGCCAGCCCAGTTCACTGCCAGCAGGAAGGGGAAGCCCTTGACTTCAGTCCTGGCAAGCCTGCAGCCAGGTCTCCCACCTCCCAGTATCAGGGCTATGAAAGACCACCTGCTACTCCCCAGCCCCCCCACCTCTCCCAGCCCCCAGCCTGGGGCAGGAAACCTGCTAAAGTCTGGGACAAAGGAGGAGGTGAGCTGAATGGGAGAGCCACACCCTCTCCTTCCTCCCTCCCGGGCCCACCTGCTCATCTTTCCCTGCCCTGTCCCAACAATCGCAAAAACTTGGGACTCTATCAACTTTCAATTCGTTTTTCAAATGAAATAATGACCACTGAGAACCAAGGCTACTTGTGGGTTTTGAGGTGAATGCAATTACAGAGGGCAAAACCACTGTAGCAACCCAGGCCTTTATCTCCATTAGCAGAGATACTGACTGCTTAAGACAGCTTCTCTCCACAGAGGAGCTGGGAGCTCCCCACTCCCGAGGGGCCCTACTTAAGACCGAGGGCTATTTGTATTGCACTAAAGATGTTTTCTAATCAATAGAGGACTTGTCCTTTTCGTATTTGTATTAACTTGGAGCTCCCAGGGAGGCCTTCCTCCATTGCTCCCTACAGCTGCCCTCTGGCGGGGGGGGGGGGGGGGCAGAGCCCCCGCTTACTGACAGACTGCCCACCAACTGTTACCGGGTCACATACCCAGGAGGCAGCAGAGCCAGGGACTGATGGCTGTGGGAAGGGGCATGCTCTTTGTGGCTGTAAGACTTCAGATCCCTCAGAACTGGGAGCTGGGACATCAAGTACAGGTACAGGTACACAGGTAAACTATCAGGTACAGGTAGACTTGGAACAAACTGCTCACTGGGTTTCTGTAACAGGGCCCAGGATGTTATCATCATGACACCGGGGCTCTTGATTTATGGTGGGGACACACCAGATTGAAACCTGGGTAACCATCAGAAAGTAAAAACTACAGTCACAAGCTGTGCCTGGTGGTTCATTTTGTAATCTAGTACTTGGGAGACTGAGGCAAGAGGGTCATGAGCTCCAGGTCAGCTGGGGCCACACAGTGGGACCCTCTCTCTCTCACTTGGTTTTTTGAGATAGGGTCTCTGTGTAGCCCTGACTGTCCTGGAACTCGCTCTATAGACCAGGGTGGTCTCAAATTTGCAAATCCACCTGTTTCTACCTCCTGAGTGCTGGGATTAAAGGCACAAAGGAGAGGATAAAGTGTGCTGGCTATGAAAGCGGCACGGGTCCAGTTAGACCCCAGTGCCAAAGAAACTGCCAGATTCTTACAACCCCACTGCTGGGGAGGAGGAGCTAGGCAGACCTCAGGGACTCAGTGGATAGCCTCGTCCACTCATCCAGCTAGGAGTTAAAGTGGTTGTGAGCTGCCCTATGTAGGCACTGAAAACAGAATTTAGAAGTCACAGACTTCTCTCTGGCTCCCCCAAATCCAGGTTTTAAAATCTAAATCTCTCAGAAAATAATTTGTGTGAGTATTAATGTGTGTGCATGGGGACCAGGGACCAGCTTCGGGTATGTGTGTCTGTGAATATGTATGCAGGGGGGTAAGGGTCAGCTTCAGGTGTGTGGTCTGTGAATGTGTGTGCATGGGGGTCATCGATAAACTTTAGGCATCATCTACCTTGTTTTTGAGACCTCTTCTTGCTGGCCTGGGCTCACTGACTATGGTAGGAGCTCTGGGGATTTACCCGTCTCTGCTTCTCCAGTGTTGAGACTACAAGCATACTCACCGTTTAGCCATGGGTGCTGGGGTCAGACTTAGGTCCTCAGGCTTAAACTACAGACACTTGATGCACTGAGCCATTTTCTTATCCCAAAGTCTCAAGTTTTAAACATTATCATCTATTAACTACTATCCATTAACTACCATGAATAAAACAAAACACTTAAAAGTCTCTGGGTTGCAGCCTTTGGGAGAGGTAAGGCCTCCAACTGCAGAATTTCTGTTAGAACTATCCTAGAGTTACAGGCTCTCCTTCCCCTTCCCCTACCAAACCCCAATTTCCTTATCACAGCAAAATCCAGTTAGCCTAGAAAGCAACTTCTACACCCCAAATTTAATAAAAATTCTGAGATATAGCTCTGTCTAGTCCTCATCTCATACTCAGCCTGCTTCAGCCTGAGTGGATTACAAATGGGTACCATCATGCAATATACTGCCTTTCAGTAGCATTAAAGACAATGGGCCAAATTTTATCCAGGCGGTGGTGGTGCATGCCTTTAATTCAGAGGCATGTGGATCTCTGTGAATTCAAGGCCAGTCTGGTCTACAATAGCTAGTTCCAGAACAGGCTCCAAAATCCCATCTCGAAAAACCAAAAAACAACCAAAAAAAAAAAAAAAAACCCAAAAAAAGGGCAATGGGTCCAATTCTAGTCATATACATTTGTTCTTTTTTTTTTTTAATAATTTGTATTTTATGCACATTGGTATTTTGCCTGCATGTATGTCTGTGTGAAGGTGTCAGAATCCCTGGAACAGGAGTTATAGACAATTGTGCACTGCCATGTGGGTGCTGGGAATTGAACTTAGGTTCTCTGAAAGGACAGTCAGTACTCTTAACGCCTGAGCCATCGCTCCTGCCCCCTATATATTTGTTCTTAAATATTGCTCCACCAGTGTCCAGGTGAGTCTCCTGTCTGCCTCCCACCTCACTGCAGGAGTGCTGGGGTAACGGATTTTTACCCAAGTTGTCAGGGCTACAGTTTCAATTAGAGTCCCTCCAAAATTATGTTGAAAGAAATCCCCAATGAGCTGCATGAACAGGTGGGGCAACTCACACAAGTGCATGGATTAATACCTTTATTCAAGGGCCTGGGAGAACTAGTTATCAGCTTGTTGTCATTTTGTCCCTTCTGTCACTGGGAACACTGAGACAGCACCAGCATCATCTAGAGGGAACAGGCTCTCTTACTGAATACCAAATGTTCCAGAGCCTTTGAGTTATAGTTCCCAGCCAGGACTGTAAGAGCTATTTATCCATCTTACTAGTTATATATTATTTATCTATCCACCTATTTTACTGTTTATACACCATCTATATCACTGCTTATAAATGATCTATTTCACTGTTTCTGAATTACCAATCTACTACATGGTATTTTTGTCACAGAAGGACTGGATGGAGGCAGTCAGCTTTCTTTTCAGAGACAATTCCAACTCTACACGCCAAGTCTAAACATTCAAGGCAAAAATCTAGAGCAGGTCCTTGTGGTTGAACACAAAGGATCTGTAAATACAAGTGTGGCTCCTACGAAGTGCTCACTGCTGAAGCAGAAAGGACGCAGGCTTTTCTAGGCCACTCTCAGTACTGCTAAGAAAGGTGAGCAGGACCAAAGACTGCTGAGACACTAATAACCCAGCCCCAGTTACACCTTCACATTGCACACTCCAGGCTCCGTGAACGGGATAAACTCTCAACCAGATCTCTGTCCTATCACCATTCTCTTTATTCCAAAGTAGATGAATTACAGATTTCAACCTTTCTGTGTAACATCTGGGTAGTCTGGGACATTCACAGCATCTTGCCAGGCATCATGACAAAGGGACAGACGATCTGGGCCCAAACACATCTGCTCTGTAAAACAGAAAGTGGAAAACAAGTGAAAGTGGAGCCACAGCTCCAACTCTCTCTCTCTTTTTAAATAACAGACTTTTTCATTTTCTGTTGTTCCCCTCATTCCTCTCTTCGCACTAGGAATCGTCCTCACTCCTTGTTCAACAACCACTTCAGGTCAGGTCTTCAACCTTCTGGAACTAGTGTGCTGTTCTGGAAGAAAAGGAAGACAGACACAGTCACTGCTGGTTTCAACTGATGGATACGGTTCCTAAGTGGGACAACAGGGAGACCAAGTTATTCTCCCACTGGAAGAGTTCCTGATGGGGACGGCCCTGTATCTACTGGTTTCGTTTATACAGGCCCCATTTCATTTCAGAAAATAACTGATGCCTATGAGGCTTGAGAACCAGGAAGCAAACCTGACAACTAAGGAAGGAACATGAGAAAGGAGAGATGAGGTAATTCCAGGCACACCCTCACAGTACAGGCCGAAAGACGGGAGAGTTCAATCAGAAAAAGAGACAAGTTTAATCCTGCCGTACAGACTCAGCAGCTAACCCAATACAGAAAGAGTATGAAAAATGGTACTTGGCTCACAAAAACCACTGCTTTCCTTTCTTTCTCTCTCTCTTTTTTCTTTTTCTATTTTGGTATTTTCTATTTTGTAGGCTGGTTGGTTGGTTGGTTTGTTATGGTGGGGTATTTTTGGTTT